GTTTCATTATAGAATCGTAATTTATTGTAATCCTCATCTTTAGCCAAATTCTCTAGCAAATAATGAATTGATAAAAGCTCTCGCCACGTTGGATACCAATAAGTAATAGGATATTTGAATTTAAAGACTTAAGCAAGGTTTGGCAAAACTTCAGCAACGCCAAATGCTTCTGAAAAATTTCCTGACGCTGTGCCAGCAGCTTTAGGTGAAATTCGAATAAATGCTAAAAGAAAATCTTTAATACGTCGTAAGATTTCATCCATACGTGTTCATCATCATGCATGCTATGTAAAGTATCACGTAAATGGATTAATAAAAATTAATATTATAATTTTGAAACTGCATATAAATATTATTATTATTGGGCATTTCCTTAGCTTTTCCTTTTGACTTAAAACTATTACCAACACCTTATCTAAAAGCGTTTGTCATCCTATGATAAAAATCAACAAAGTCGCTTAAATGTATATTGAGCTGCTCATGGATTTCTTATTCTAGAACGATAGGAGAATAGTACAATCTTTCTAAAGCTGCAGTCCAGGTTCTTAGATGAATTTCAAGACATATCATAGTTTTTTCTGAATGAATTTCAAAAGATGATGCATCACTAAGTAGTTTAAGTGCTTTAATCAGTATTTCTTCTGGCAATTCTATTTCAAAATCTTCAACTAACTGCTTAAATCCAATTAAATTATCTAATTTACTAAAATCTTTTATAAGCTCTTCGGCTTGATTAATAGCAGTAGATTTTGAACTTTTTATATCTAACCTAGAAATGCTGTCATAATTTAATAATGACTTGAGGTGGGAATGTTGCCCATTTTCAATTAATTAATTAAATTATTAATGAAACGGGTAGTTTCAAGAACACTGAACTCAGTGATATTTTCGTGATTATCACATCACATGATTATGCTCTCAGCCTAAGAAGTTAGGGTTAGTTAGTTTAGGCCAATTTTTTAGTGCTAGTAAACAAATGACGTCATTGTGTGATTTCACATGATGTGATGATCACTGAGTTCAGTGTTCTTGAAGTGCCCAAAATTTTTATGCTAAATTATACATCAACAAAATGACATATATATTAAATTGCTCAAATATAATTTTTATGTCAAACCCATCTCTCTTTTTTCATCATTGAAAACACCATCCTCTTTTATTGTTATTAAAATTTAACTTTAAAATTAATCTTTGCAGTGCATATTAATTTATTAAATGTTTTTTAATATTGATATATTATGTATATAATAATAACGCTTAATTAAAATTATTTCAAAGTTTGAGTGTAACGTATGTGGAAATTTATACAAAACAAGTAGAGGATTAGCAAAGCATCTTAGTATTGTTAAAAAGTTTAACGTTTCACGTCCAGATCTTAATACTTTACCAGAAAATACTATACAACATTTCAAGGATATTTTTGTTCATTATATTCACAAACGATTATCAAGAGGATATAAACAATTAGGAAAACAAACTGTATTAGTTCCTGCTACTGAAAGTCAATTTTATGTTTTTAAATTAAATATTAAATATGAACTTCATGAAATTAATTGGCGGCTTCTGTAACTATTTTAATTGAAAATACTTCATATTCGAAATATTTTCCAAAACAGATTTGAAAGATCTGCCCCTTCATTATAATTAATAAAACATCGCACAGTACATCGATTATCACTTCTATCCAAGTTGTTTCAACTGTATAATCATCAGGGATTTGATATTTTTTGGAGGACAAGTGTACGCTAATAATGGCTTATTAGGATATATGCCTTCTTTTATAACTTTATATAAAAAACAACGATTTGTTTTTTAAACTTAATAATTGAATCAGCAGGATAAATATAAATTTCTTGCGTATTGCTCGTTGTGAAAAAGGAAATAATAAAACAATATCGAATGTATTATTTAAATATTAATTATATTTATAGTCAAATAATTTGACTTACATCAAATAGTCTATCACATACTACGTCGTAAATTTACAGTAGTGTAAAAAATTGCACTCATGCGCTCAAAATTGACACGGTAGATTCTCGATTTTGATTGGCTAGCAGCCGTAATCCGCAAAGTTTTTGATCGCATTACATAATTGTTTCTAATTTCCGGCAGGAATTAACTTTTTATTTTTCAATAGAAATTTTGGAAAATAAGACCTCGCCTAGGGTTGTGTTACATAAATTACAATTTTACGTTACTTGTAATTTTACGTAAGTTACAGAAAAGCGATTTTCATGTT